GCTAGAAAGAAGATCTTGTAATCATCATCTGAATTTTGACATTTCTGAATGTTTTTTCTTTAGTTCATAAAATAGCATTTGTTTTACATAGCTTAATGCTTTGAAAAAAACAAACTATTTTTGATTACCCCAGAACTGAAACTTATTTGATGCAAACTATCAAAAACTCAATAAGGTTCAGTTTAAGTGCCAAAATGCTAGAAAGAAATATAGAAATTGGACATCTTAACTTTTGCCATTTCTGAATTTCTCCTTCAGTTCAGTTCATGAAAATAATATTGTGATATTCTTGTTGCAATCTTTCTTTACAAGATTATGCAGTACAAGTTTTTGATGATGCCATGACAACCGGAAAATTCAACTGCTACCTGGAACCGAATACTATGCTTCCTATGATTTACGTTGATGACTGCTTGAGGGCGCTAGTCGAGATTATGGAAACTCCGAATGAAACGTTAAAGCTGCGGACTTACAATGTCGCTGCCATTAGTTTTACACCAGAACAATTATTTGAAGAAGTTCGGAAACATGTTCCGAAGTTGGAGGTGGAATACAATCCTGATGGAAGGCAATCTATAGGTGAGTTTTAATCAAAGATTTTAACATATTGCTTGCTAATACCGTTATGTATTACACGTATCTGTCGAGGCCTTCAGTAGGCATTATGTTAATCAACATGCTGCCCGGAAAATAATTGTGAACATTTTTCGGGAAGACTAGTGTGTTGTTAACATTATCATGATTGTTGTCATTGTTAAAACTTGTTTAATTTTTATAGTATTTTAGCAAAGAACAAAAAAAGTGTTTCTTTCAAACTGATGCACATTGCACCAAGAGCAAATCTTTTTTTTTCCTTTTTTTTTTCTTAACTTTGTAGTAGCTTTTAATTTTCCATTTAATTGTCTAAGCACTAAAGTCAACTTCAAGCATCATCCACAACATAGTTCCATTTATACTCTGCTTTTTTCCTTGGAAAACATTGATAAAAATTTCATATTTGTTGATCAAAAACTAGAAGCTACGTCACATCTGAAAATGTGAACAAACTTACCCCATTTTGAGCAGAAAATAAATTTGGCGCTTAAACACAAATTGTATTTTTCATCTTTCATGTACATACAGCAGTTGACCCTTTTATGATTTTTTTTTTTTTCCTAGCTGACTCATGGCCGCAGGTGTTCGATGATTCAGGAGCGAGGAACGACTGGGGATGGTCGCATCATTATGATCTCGAAAAAATGGTACAGGTTATGTTTGAACTGAAGCGGAAAATATTGAAGCTGTAATGTTATGAGAAATAAATTGACGTGTACATTATGAACAATGCATATTTTGAAATGACAATAGAACAAATGAGATCATGTGTTTGTCACTAGAGGGCGCCGTGTACCAACCAACATTATTGAGTCTATGGAATTATGAATATGTTTAGATTATGCAAATATGGCTAAATTTTATAAAGTACAAATATAGTTAGCTTGATTAATTAATTAATTATGATAGTAATTAAGTAGTTTAAGTGACCAGCGATAAAGGTCTCGTTCAGTAGATCATACAATATGTCAATGCTATTTGAAATAAAACTGCTACATTCTGTGCTTTGAAACGCTGCAATATTCTTTTAAAAGTTCTTAGCAGTGTTTGTTTGGCTTTGGCACCTTCAGTGTCAACAGTAAGTGCCCTTGGAAACAACCATTTTCCCCAGGGGTGGTAGGTTGTACTAATCATGTACTTTGTTTTTTTCAATTTTTCATATAGCCTGTGTGTTATGTTGAGGATGAAAATTCAATCTATCGCTGTAAATTTGGCTGAATATCATGAGAAGTTCAAATTACATATGTGGACTAGTCCTGTTTGCCAATATTTCTTGGTCACTGGCAGGTGGTGCTTGTGGATAGTTGATTTTTGTGGGTGATGTTTTTCTGTAAAAAATTTTGAAGTAGATTTTGAGCAAAAGCAATGCATGAAATATAAAAATTTAAAACTCAATGCATCATTGTTTGTTCACAAACGTACAATTTAATTTCATCACCCCCCCCCCCACCCCCCCATTAAATATAGTGGAACTTTTGATATGCAAATTTTCAGTGGTTGAATGCAAAGTCGTAAACATTGCTAAGAATCTTCCAAGGGATATTGCAATGTTCTGAGAAAAATTGATAGAAGTAGTTTACATGATCTGTTTATTTCAGCGCTTGATTCAAACATACTACCTTAATTAACGACTCACACCTTCAGATCAAAAGCTTTGATTGACACTAAAGACACTTTACTTTACTTTGCCTGTAATTACACACCTAAACAAGTGCTTCTAAAAAAATTTCATTGCAGTATTTTCGAAAAACGATACATTCAATAATTTATTACTAATTTTGGGGTAAGAAAGTTGAAAAATTGATCAAAAATGCACTTTTTAAGGAGCACTTATTTAGCTTGGTTGGTCACATGATTAGTCACATGATT